TCACGCCCTGAGCTCCCCGGATCCAACAGGGGACGCTCCCTCCTCTCGAGATGAGAGCTCTTTTCTCAGCAGCCTCGGCCGTGCACCGGGGTTAATGTGGAAAATTACAAGTTGTGCTGGGCTTTTTACATGCGCATGCCACTAATTAGAAACGAATTTCTCCTCCGAATAAACATATACTCAGAACAGCTATTAATCCACAGCGAGGCTGATGTTCAGGAAAAAAATCAAGAAACAAAATATGCAAAAGAAAACATGACAGCTCAGGGATTCCTGTGCTCAGATTTCTCTCGTCCTCGCCCTGTCCACCCTGGGCTAGAGCCACCCCAGGAAAGGGGGTATAGGAAGCTGTCGTCAGGTTGACCCCAGGGCCTGACTTCCTGCAAGGGACATCCACACTGTTCTGTCCTGGCAACTGTGCACGTCACCCTGTGGTCTCAGCTTGTGTGAGGCCCATGACATCTCTTGGAGGGCAAGGACAGGCCTCGGGTACGTGGACAGAGTGGACTGGGGAGTGAGGGTCAAGGCTGGCAAAGCTGGACCCTTTCCTGATAGTCCACATAATAACGATCCTGGGCTGGAAGCCTTCTGAGGCAGCAGCATCACAGGTCTTCTGGATGACGATCACGGTGGTGTGGCCGGTGGAGACGGACAAGGTGGGGAGCCGGCGTTTCCGATTGGCCTGCGGTCCAGAGCAGGCTAAGAGGTCTGGGGATGGGAGGTATTGGTCCCGATTCAAGTCTCACTCCCAAACTCCAGCGCTTACACGTTATCCCTTTAGAGACTTCAGGCAAATTTAAGGAAGAGCCAGCAGCCTGCTTCATGAGGTTGTGGTGACATGGGACATTCCACAGCAGCGGCCACACCATAGCTCGAGTGGCAGCCCCTCACCCCGCCCTGTGCACTTTATCTCCTGGCCGGTTTTTGGCAGATAGAAAATTCCACTCGACAAGCTGAGAACAAAAGCAGGAGCCAGGCTGGTTAGGAAACACCTCTGAAAAAGGAATGATGCCAGCGACGAGGAGAAGCCCTCAGATGGTCCCTCTCGTTTGCCTGTTCTCTCACCTCGATTATCCTGTGAGCTACTCCGAGAGCGAAGCCCCAACAGAACAGCGAACCTGCTCTCGTGCCAAAAAAGAAAAGCACGTACACGTCTTCATAGAACCCACCTGCCGTTCACGTCCGTGGAGTATCCTGTCGCTCGAAACAGCTTTTCTCCGAGAAACATTTGCCCTCGGCCCCTTTTTTCATTCCTTTCTACTCGAATTTTCTGTTCACTCTCTAAATTGGGGCAGGGCGGGGCAGTGGCAGGGGAGGGGGAGAGAACGAAGATGACACCATAACCCCAAACAGAGGGAGCTTCCCTTAAAATTACCTTCACTGTCACCATCCATCTTTCGGGAAAAGAAGTCACCATTTTGTGCAAATGCAGTCTGTCCCCCACGCTTGACAGTGAAGGGCAACTCAGGGTGCAGGTAGACCTTCACAGGTTCCCAGCCATGGCCTGTGACAGACAGCAAGCTGCCACCAACAGTTTGACTAGAACTCACCACCCTCCCCCGCCCCCCACACACACATACTCCCCGGGGGCTGCTCGCCTCACCTGTTTGGTTCTTCCCCTGAGGTCCTTGTCAGCTGGCCTCACTGTCCTTTCTCTGAAAGTCCCAGAACAGGGACCTTGGAGTGGAGGACATGGGAGGGTCCTCCATTCATTCACACCATGGCTTCTAAAGCTCACCCTGCCCCATGCCTTCCTGTCTTCCTCTGGTCTGGGTGGGGATCCTCACTTTCTTCCACCTCGGAGCCAATAACTTGCCACCTCGCCTCTGCCACCGCCACCAGGGCACGTTCCCCAGACTGAAGACTGCTTTGTCTCTTTCTCTTTGTTTGAGTGTCTGTGTCCCAAAGGAATGATATCCATCCTAAAGTCCTTGCCGGATTTCTCCCAGAGGGCTCAAGGATTCTCATGTAAATGAGTCTGACATTTGACCTGTCCTGCTAGGTCAAAGTTCCCAGTGGGTAAGCAGGCCAACTTCCTCCACACTCTCTGCTCGGAGTTGGAGAAGGGGACATTTTCACTGACTGCTTCATTTTCCCTGAGCCCCGTCACACACTCTCAGACTGACACAGTTATGTCGTAACCCACAAAGCTAAGCAATTGTACAGTGTGTCTAGAAGAATTGAGAAAGATTTTCGATTGCCCTCAAAAGGTCGTGAAGAGATAACAAATGAGTTTCTCTTTATAGCTCCTCACACCTGTTCTCTCCCCGAGGCAGAGAGGACCCTGATTCATCATGGCAAGTGGTCAACAGGAATTGGGAACAGCCTCTCTCTGGTCTCAGCCTCACACCCCGTCTGGGAGACAGGGCTGCTGAGAGCGAGCAGATGGGATTAGAATGCTGGGAATAAGAACCTCTCCTGAATCTAAACTCACAGGTTTCTTAATTTTACAACACAATGTTTTTGATAAAAATCAACAGAAAAGAGCCCGCGGACAGCTAATAACCCCCAGGCCTAAGTTCACACCAACTGTGTTCCGTGTTACAGAACCTACAATAGTTGACAGGCTATTAGTAAAACTCCAACCTCAGCCCACGGCGATTAGGGTTTCTGAGTATAATGCAGGTGGCACACAAAAAACGAAGCTCAAGATGATTCAGGAAAAGATCGATACCTGCATATATGTAAACATTACATAGTAAATAATATTTGATAAATGTTGATAAATAATACATAATACTATTACATATTTTGAAATAATATTAAATGTATAGAAATTATGCATAATGTACATGCTTCTCCACATTTCTGTTCTTGCTAATAAACCCTCAGCCAGGATCATGAAATCAAGTCCAGGGTTACAATGTAGCAGTCACCTTAGGAGTCAGAGCACAGAGAAGGTCCCCAGATTGTTCTCTGGGACTAGGATTTCCTTTTCCCAGGTCAAGTGGCTGCAGAGATTCCTGGGCACTCAGGGACCCTGCCAGGCCTTTCCCTGCCCCATCAGGGAAGGGGGCTGAGGCCCAGCCCTGAGGGGTGTTGAGAGGGGCGGCAGCAGAGGCAGGAGTAACGCCATGTCCTGCCGGATAGAGAAGGAAAGGGCAGACCTTGCATTCCAGGGGCCACCTGTGGAGGGGACCTGAGATTCTCAAACTGTGTCCTCTATCTTTTAGCTCAGTCTATTGCGATGAAATGCAGACTGGGCAGTGGTTTCTGTGACCTTGGCCCCAGTAACTGGGGTCTGTTATAAAAGCCATGGTTGTCCCACAGATGGGTTAACTTCCAGCCCACAGAACCGCTCGGAACCTCATGGAAGCCTTGCAGAGAATTGCTAATGGTGTTTGGCTGATGGCTGGTGTTTTTGTAGCAAGAATCAGAACAGGCAATAAGAAAGATTCAGCATCGACCTGCTCAGCACGGGAGGAGACACAGATGTAAACAGACACACTCCATGCCTGCTGGGCTTGGTATCCTAGTGTTAAGGACCGACAAAAATTTTTTTTTTTGAGGGGGGTGTCCATTTTGGGGGCATTTCGTGAAAGAGCAAATCTAGGGGAGGAATCTGAAGGTGGGTAAGACTGGATAGCATTTGAATTCCATAATTACGACTGGAATTTCTGCCATCGGCTCGAGGCCCCGTTGCCTGCTCTCCCTCCCCCCCCCCTCCAACACGCACGCACACACACACACACACACACACACACACACACTGCAGCGCAGAGCCGAGCTGGACGGATCCGAAGTGGGTTAGGGCGTTATGTAAGCCCTGGGCGGGCGGGGAGATGGTCTTTTATGTGGGCTCCGGCGGCGGCGGCTCCGGCGGCGGCGGCAGAGCGGCTCAGGTTGATGTGGAATTCGGATGACAGTGGCCTGGCGCGAGCCCACGGCTGACGAGAGCGGCCTCGCCCGCTCGGTTTCCATGGCGACGAGCGCGCGCGGCG